GCATCATAAACTTTCGTACTTCCTTTTAATTAAAACTGCACACTTATTTCCCATGCTTGAGTTGATTTCATTTTTGTTTGTCTTCGCAACTACACTTGCATAGCAATGAATAGTAGAGCATGTAATAAAATCCACTGTATAAATTAATTAAAATAAATTTTTCCTTCAATACAATATCTATTAGCAGCGAAACGTATGTAACATTCAAAGTACCTCGTGGCGTATGAGTGATCATAATTTAAATATGCCAGGAAATTTTGCGTGAATTTAACATTTTCAACTTTAACGGAGCACGGAATTATATTACAAATATCAAAATATTAGTTATGAAATTCTCAACATATTTGACAAATTGTCTGCATTGCTAATTAACTCCAATTATTCGCGAAAATATTTGCAGTTAACATTAAGCATATAAAATAAAGCACAATTAGTGTCACAAATATCGCGCATTCACATCAACGTTACATCGCAAAGCGAACAACTGACTCACTTAACATATAAAATTCATAAAAGCAAACAGCGAACAGCAAACTTCAGAGCAAGGTTTGGGATGAGATGGCAACAGTTGAAGCTTTGGACGTGTGTGAGTGTTTCATAGATACCCTAAACATCACCATTCAGTTCTAGTATTCCGGTGAATGAAATACTGTTGGAGCCGACATGAGCAATATGCAAATGAGTCGAGGGTAAATCATATTCCCAAAATATTTAAACACAATAAAAAAAGTTGAGAAATTTCAGTCTATCTTTGCTTGCCTAATACGCCAACTTGATACACAATATACATAGGGGGAAAGGGGGAAAGGGGGAGAGGAAATAAATATTAAAGCTGAGTGCGAGATAAGTTGCCAAGTTGAAAGGCAGTTTGACATTTTAAGTGCAGAGATTTGCGCCAAAGACAAACAGCAAACGGAAATGCCAACTTCTGTGGCAAACTGCAATGTTTCTCGGGCTTCAAAGCCACACAACCAAAATATTTTTAGCAAAATGTACACAATATAGATGGTGTCTACTGCTTAGTTTTGAAATTTATAGCAAAACTCAAGCTCAGATAAAGTTCAAATTGAATTGGAACTGTGAGAAAATATTTTCAAAAATTATAAATAATTATTTTTGTACTTTTATTCTTAGTTATGGAAAGTTTTAAGATTTTGAAGTATGAGAGCTTCATTCCACAATAAAATTAAATAAAAATGTAAGAATTTCATTTTTAGTCATAATATAATGTTTAAGTCATAATATACGATGTACGCAGAGGGCAAGAGTATCGGAATGACGTCTGGATTTACATAATATGAAGAAAAATGTACTGAGGGTTAAATACTTATATACAAAATCGCCTTTTCGAGTTACAAAACTGAAGTATGAAGTGAAAGTGCAAAATAAAGCGAATTCTACATACTGCAGAAATACATAGTTTTCAAAGCATTGTTGAAACCAAAGATTAATAAGCACAAGTATGTGGCTTTAAAATAATAATATTTCAAGAGCATCTAATTAACGATTCATTCATCGATTAAACCTGCGAAAGATGAGACACCAAGCCGATGATATGCCTCTAGAAAAAAATTACCCAAATCACACAAAGAAAGCTGGATATCGCCAAAATTAATTGGATATATATTATTTAGCTGCTTATATTAGTCCTGCTGTATGGTGCAGATGTTTGGTTAACAACCAACCGTAATAAGAAGGCATAAGATACTTTCCAGAGAAAAATTCTTGGAAAGTCCTATAGTTACATTGTCGCAACGGGTTTTGAATTAGATGGATGCTATACTTCGACATTGACAGAGTTAAGAGCATAAAAATGCAACAACTTTGCTGAATTGACTCGACCGTACGAATGAAATGAAAGAAAACGTTTCGACTAGAAAAGTGTTTGATTAAGTACCGCTGGTGCAAAACGCGATAGAGGACGGCCGCAACTTTGGACCAATGATATGAAGGCAATCGATACTAACGACAGGCAACAGCAAGCCACTGATCGGACTGGAGAAATCTCTAAGAACAACTTACACCTGTAAAGGCCAACTAAGTAAATAAATAAACTTTTATTAGTATTGTATAATTTAGCAGATATATAATACAACATGTACATTATTCTTGAAAATGTTATTATATGTCATTTGTGTTGTAGTTAGAAAAAATAAAAAAAGTAATAAATGAGATTTGTCTATATAATGAATTCCTAAAATAAAACTTGTTTTTGCTCTAAAAAAATGTATGTAATATATTATAGTAATTACAATTCACTGTAAGAATTTTAATAAATTCGTCCTATTTAAGAAAAACGAATATATTTAACTCACATCTTCGTAATTTTATGGGAGTTAGTTACAATGGTGACTAATAGGCCATTCTAAATCCTACTCAAATTTTAAACTGAGCACACAAACTGTTAGACATTTAAGTAGAGATCATAATAAAGCAAAACTATGTTTTCACTGATGCCAATATAAGTCAAAAGCAAATTCTAATATAGACCTAAAGTATTAGAAATTTGTTTTTGAAGTCGTAATTTCAGTTTTTTTAGAAAGAGATGATGTGAAAAAGTGTCATGTTTAATAAATGCACTAACTATGTTTTAACATCCACACTATGGCATAAAATTCCATCGAAGAAATACTCGACGAGTTTCGTCAAAAAAACACATTATTAAAGATTTTTTAATAATCTGTGCAAATCAATGAGACTGGAAATAAGAGCGGTATGATATACATCTCCTTAACTTTTAAACCACCTAACCTAAACATGTTCACACCAATCATGTGTTTGTACTCTTCAATATGTAGGGCCTATGTAGGGATATAGGTCTCTTGCTTATAATTTCATCCATTCCCAAATAAAATTTTATTAAACAAATAGATTAAAGTAAACTTTGCTCCATACCATAAATACAACTTTTCCACATTTTAGACATTTAATGCAATTACTGAAGAAATCAATGAAATTATAATCAAATTAAGTGCATCAAATCGATAAGGTTTAAATCTATTCGACTTGGTTGTTTGAATGATTTGATCAATAACTAAGTCCCTGCACTTAAGTAATGTAGTATAGTGTATAAATACAGAATGAAATTACAAAATAAAATCAAATTTCTTCGATTTTTGGTAACAATTTTTGGTTTTTCATAAAACTTTCACTCTTATTTTCACTTCATTAACACAAAAACAGAGGAGTGGAATAATAGTATCTACATGATAACTAAACATCAATGACTACATTGTTGTGATGATTTATGTGAGCCCAAATGATGGCCAAATGATATCCTTTACATGGCTGTTTGGAAGCACTACTCACTGTATGTGTATTAAAATTGTGTAAAATTTTATGCCATGAACACAACGGAACACATAAAAACAATTACAAAGCAACCGGAGTGCTGAAGTTTTTCGGGTAATAGGGTATTGCGCTACATATTAAAGGCTGGAATAGTACATCGACCGAAACTATTGTTGAATTCACTAAAATTGTAACTAAAAGTAATAACCATGCAGTAGAAATTGCTTACGACGTGCTTTATGGCCTAAAGTACTGCAATATTATACGCTCTGTGCCGCATACCCCTCTGTACTGTTGTGGCAATGTCAGAGCCAAAACCAGGACCTAAGTCAGATTCGTACACGCATATATCCTTAAACATGTAAGCGGTTTCGTTAGGTATTTGGTAGCACCATAAAATTAAGCAGTTGACAGCATTTGTGACAAGTTTTATACAAAAAATTAACAGAGAAACTATTCTTCTGCAGGAAAATGGTGAGATGAAAATGACATTTTCCTGTTATAATAATGTATGGCGCACTACATACGTGGTATATAGCAGTACGTGTGTGCGTGTAGGTGCACGCCTTCTTATTAGTAAGCGTGCGTTGGGTCCAACCGAGGGTTGACTAGATGGAATAATAGTATCTAAAGGCTTAATAGGGGCGGAAAATGAATGTAATAAGAAACCGTAGAACGGACATAAAAATGTACGTGATGTTATAAAACCAAAATTGTTATGTCGATTCTTCCCTTTGTCTTGATATATATTAATTTCGAAGAGAATTTAATGTAATCTTAGCAATAGGACTACTCTTAATTTTACTAAATCAATCTAAACTTAAAATATTTATGAATTATTTTCAATATACATTGTTATTATTGCAGATAATTTATTGTGAAATTTTTCTCTGAAGGGTGATTCTTTTTATACGAGTATATATCATAAAATTTATTTTCACTGCTTATTAGTTATTAAATGTAGTGTGCTACTACAATATGCTATTACTTTCGATTTTAAGTACGAAACGAAATTTGGTTTTTCTCTCAAAAAAATACAAAATCAAAACCGCACTCTCTTTACGCGCATTGTGGTGAATTTTTCCAAATATTTCTTTCTTAAAAGTACCTGAAAAAGGTGAAAAGGTGAAAAATTTTAGTGATTTCAGCTGGTATTAGTGCACTTTTTACTAACACTTTCAAGAGCTCCACGACAAATTGCTGTTATTCGAAAAAACAAATGTTAGTTCACAATGGAATTGCCATTTTTGGTATTATTTGGCACACAATATAAATATACCATCAAATTTTAATTAATGTATCATCTTGAATTGGGGGTTCATTTCTGTATCATCACTCTCTTTACGCACATTGTGGTGAATTTTTCCATATATTTCGTTCATAAAAGTACCTGAAAAAGGTGAAAAGGTGAAAAATTTTAATGATTTCAGTTGGTGTTGGTGCACTTTTTACTAACACTTTCAAGAGCTTTACGGCTAATTGTTGTTGTTCGAAGAAACACATGTTAGTTCACAATGGAGTTGCAGTTTTTGTAAAGAATTAATGGCACACAATATAAATATACCATCAAATTTTGTATCAACTTGAATTGATGGTACATTTCTGTACTGTGAATCAATCAACTGTGAATACACAATTTTCAAAAATTAAAATTTTTAAGATATGGCAATATTCCTAATTGATTATTAGTGTCACAACTAGTCTAAAAAAATTTAAATAGGAATTCATTTGTAATTTGAACTCTCATCAATAAGCAGCGAATATGTATTGTTTGGTCAGTTATATAAGCATTATTCTATATTAAACATAATTGTCGTATATGAAATTAAAAAACTAATAAAACACATTTTTTTTATTTTAGGTTGAATTAAAACATAAGATTTATGTTGAACCTCGTTACCTTGATGAGGATGTTATGGATCATATTATGCAAAATCTTTGCAGTCATACTGAAGGCCACCTTCATGGGGACAGCGGTAAAATTGTCAAAATTATTAAGATAGTAAACCTCGGTACGGCTTTAATAAACCCTTATACTTCCGAAGTGGAAATCTTGGTGACTTTCATAGCCTTGGTAATACGTCCAGTTAAGGGTGAAGTCGTCGATGCAGTTATAACACAAGTTACAAGTGTATAGCGCCTAAATATTTTCTATTAACAACATAACTAATATATTCTTTGCTTCCAGATGGGTTTATTTGCTGATGTTGGCTGTATAAATCATTTTGTTTCACGTTTTGTAAGTACATTCAAATTGCATAGCAAAAATGTTATAATTTATGTAAAAATCTAACTTAAAAAATGTCTCAAATATCATATTTTAAGAATATACCGGAGTATTTGCAGTATTCCACAGCAAATGCTCCTTGTTACAAGGACAAAGACGAAAGAATTGTTATAAATGTTGGAGATATTGTCCGCATACAAGTTACTGGTGTACGCACTGATAATGATATAGTAAGTGCGACATTAATTATTTTATATCCATTCATATGTACAACACTTATAAAACCTATTTTAGTTTGCAGTAGCTACAATGCTGGGCGATTATCAAGGAACCGTACAGATGCATGATGATAAATATGAGAAAAACGCAAATTAAATAACCAATTTTTTACAAAACTCTAAACAAAAATATAAATTTAACAAGACTGGAAGCAACACATGCTATTTTATAAACCGATAATAATATAACTATCACGTTTTCCGATTTTATGGGAAGGCGTATAATTTTGTAAGTGTTGCTAACAGTTATTATAAGAAAATAAATAATAAATTAACATTTTTACAATCTGCATAAGTTTTTTCTTCCTGATTATTTTTGGTGCCAAATTGAAAGTAAGCCTATCTACATTTCCTTTTAAATTTAGGCATAACCAAAAAGTGTCAAAAAGTAGTCAAAATACGAAATTGGCAACACTGATGTGACACGCAACATAACATTTATTAATTCTTACAGTAATGTTCAGAGACAGCATGTCTTCTAAAACATTACAGTACGCAGCCCTTCCTTGTCATGTAGCATCGGAAAAAACCAATGATTCCATCATTAGTCTATCGTTTCCGGTCTATAACTATAGAACTGTAATTAGAAATAGACAAAAGAAATTTCAGGTAAATAGGTTTTGTTGAATGATAAAAGTTATTTTTTATATTGACGAATTGGTTCTTGAAAATAGGCAAGATTCAATCATAATGATGTAAAAAACCAGTTCAGGTTTTCGGTTCTGTTCCGCTTCGATGCCCTGGTAAAAATTAAGCTGGATGTGACGAAACAAGCATTAAATCTAGAAATCGAAATGTTGCGGTTGCGTTATTATAGAGGAACATTTACGCGATTGGCTTATATCAGTCAAAGCGTGTTGACTATCAACAAATGAAGAATAATTTAATCTTGAAAAATAATAACAGTCACTTGATGGTTAAAAAACTATTATCTTTAAATAATTTTTATACAACTACTACAGAAAATACTGTTGTTGTTTTGCGTACATTTCGGCCAGTAGACGCCAGCAGCTTGCTGTTTTTTTGCCATACTTGCGAGCCACCGAAAACGATTAATATATATGTACAAAAAATGAAATACGAATGAAATTTTCAAATTTAATCGAACAACCGAAATGTAAGTTAAGAGTGACTTTAAATCTTTTCAATAAATACTTATAAAAAAATGTTTACAATTTCTGATTTTGGTAAATAAAGTACGACTGCATTCTAGACATTCGTGCTTGTATATTTATAATAGAAATCGGTTAATGAGGGTATTGAATCTTATTATAAGACACAGTTCCGAGTAGTTAATTAAAGAAATCAGTACTTATAAATCTGAAGCCTACTGTGGACTACTTTCAATATTAACCGAAATCCAAGGTATCAAAAAAAGTTTACTCTACAAAGAATCTCGGTCAAACAAATCAACTCTTCTTTTCATAACTGTCCCTTGCTTTTATAAACCCCTTTAAATATTTCATATGATTTACGGATTTCTTAGTTTCATTCTAATCTTTACTACATATATATTTTAAACCATTACACAATTTTTGTTATCAACAGATTTTTCTTCTATATTCTTTAGTTCAAATAAATCATTCTTTTCATCTTTATAATAGGTAAGTCAATTTTTTATTGGGAACCTTTCTTTTCAAATTGTGTGATAGTTTCAAATTGTGTTGTTCAATTCAAGAAACTATTAAGCATTTAGAAAAGACAGTGTGCCAAACAAAAATATGCAGTGAAATATGGGCCCTTTTCTCGCGAAAATACATGACTGAAGTGAAGATTGTTTATTGAAAATTAATAGAACTTTTCTAACATTTGGATTAATGTTTAACATTTAAGTTAATATATTGAGGAGGAACGATTAAGCGTTCATATATATCTACAGAAGGCTAGGATACACTGCTTTACCTTACGAATGAGAAAACAATCGAAACAATAGACTTCTGATGATGCATTCTGCGAAAAGCACTACAGTTTATGAATTATTGAAAACATTTAATATTGACTAATTAAAACAAATAAAACAAATTTTTTCCCACTTAATTTTTTATCTTACTAATCTTCACCTGGGTACAGACAGAAGTCATGTTGGGATACAATAAGCCACTTATAAAATATTATAAAAGGACAGAGTTGTTGAAAACAGCAACAGATCTTGGACGTATACGGAAACTTGCCAAGACTAATATAACTGAAACTTAATAGCAGAATATTTAGGAACTTACTAGAAGAGAACATCTCTAAGGAGGTATCTTATATACGTTTACTGGGTATGTGGTCACGCTCTTTGGCTCAGGCTTTCCTTTCACGAAAATACTTGAAGAAGAATCTTTAAGAGGGAAGAACTTGTAGCATGCATAAGAGTGCATAGACTTCTTAGCACTCTCTATAAACTCTCTCTACTATTTACTGAAATGAAGTTTTTCACATTATCTTCCAGTTCAATGGTAAAAATCTTCTTCACTCATTCTTAAGAAAGAAAGATGTTTTTGCGTTAAAGTCTCACGCTGTGACTGTCAAAGCAATTGAAAGATTATTATTCTTGCAAGCGATTAATTGTTCTTAATTTACATATTTTAAATATGATGTTTTTTTCTTTTTTTTAATTATTCTACTTATTTAATATCAAGAAACTCATTTCAAATTTAATTTTAAGTGATTTTATTTTATTTTTTATTTAACTCAATAAAAGCATATCATGAAATCATTAAAACTGAAAAAATTGAAAATAACTTCAAGTGGATCATTAAAAACTTTTTGGATACATACACCTGATATTGACACATAGTTTTTTGGAATAATCTGAAAAGTTTTATGGTTTTCCATTAGCTTTGAATTACTTTTATTTCAATCGACTTGTCACTTGACAGCTGCAGGCTTTATTCTTGACGAAAAAAATGCATATCCCACAATTGCCTTTTCTAAATAAACTTGCATTTCAATTTTTTAAAAAAATATTGACAATATATTGGTTTTTATTTGTTTATTTTTATTTTTATTATTAGTGCACACAAAATTAGCTTCATTTTGGCAAATCCAACGAGATAGCTTCGAAACTTCGTCGAAAATAAAGTAAAAGTTTTCATTTATGAAAATTTGCGCTGCAGCTTTTGTGTCCTATAAAGTTTAGGCAATTCAGATGAAATGGGAAAAACAACCAAAAAATCGAAATGCGGAATACGGAATACTTCATACGGCAGCAGCTACTGCAGAACAAAGGATAGAAAAAGTTGCTCAACCCATATTTGAAAGGAGAAAACTAAATAAAGTAAAATGTTGTAAAATAAAATGAAATAATATAAAATAAAATAAAGTAATATATAATAGAAAATGAATAAATCCTTGCAATTTGTGTACACATACCTACATCTGACTCTCATTTGACGTATTGTAGACAGTAAACTATACTCGTTTGCATGCACAATGGAATAAAGGGATTGGGATGTTGGGATTGCAAATAAGCTTACTAATAAAAGGGATAATAAAAAATGAAACAATAATGGCAAGCAAAATGAATAAAAATAAAGAACAAAATGAAAGTTGGAGTAAACATGGTGATATGGAAAATGCAAGTCCAACTGTAAATACACAAACAGTAACAGTAACGCTAATGCGTACCGAGAAACCTATATACAGAACAGCAAAAGGCTTTAAATATGTATGTATAAAAAACATACACAAATCAGTACGCCAACTTAAAGGATTTTCTGGATTCGAAACTTCGGTCCTTCAGTACTTCAGTACTTCGAGTCAGTCGTATTTATAGTAAAATGAGTCAGAAAATAATTTTTTCTCCCGCCATCTCTAATGACACTATGGCAATGCAACTCTAACATCGTTTCTGGGCACGTTTATCGTCATTTCCCCCCACACAACTGAACGCTGTACAGGAAATTGATTATGTCAATGCTGCCAACTATTTTGATGTACTTTGCCTATTCAAACATTTTAACCATTAAAAGTGAATCACTTTGCGGTGATGTTGAAATTTGTTTCAATTTTTTACATGACTCTGCTTGATATCAGCTAAAGTCAAAACGAAATCCCTGTTGCAGGGAATTTGCTGTCAACTTTTGTTGTCGTTGATGAATAAGCAGTGTTGCGGTGTTGTCGAAACTGTTTAAATATTCATCAATTGAGTGTGGTTAACTTCCTCATATTCTAGTTGTAAGCAATTTAAATTGAATGAGCTCAATACTTTCTACAACAACAAATTCTTTTCATATCAACGTTACATCGTGTCAAACTTTTTTGCAAATTTCAAATTTATTGAATTAAGTTTTAATTTGTGTGAAAAAAGTATTGTATATAAAAGTATAAATTGCTTTTTATGCACATCCATACATACATTAATAATATATAGTTAGTTTGTTGTGTTGAATGAAGGAACGAATCCTCCTCAATTAGCTAAAAATGCCGTTTCGAATCTAATAATAATGGGTAGTAAAGTGAATATCAAGCTAGAACTAGCCAGAGACATTTGTAAAAGCAAGAATCTGTCCAATGGTAAGGCTAGAGATAACGCCGAGTGTGTTGAAGAAGGAGTCCCCCAAATACTTAAGCCTGGACATAGACACAGGAGGTGTTCTGGTGTGATTTCTTCGATAGCTGGTAGGCACGCATTACAGGAAATGTCATAGGTCATACGGTCCAGTGCCTGTAAAAACAGATAATAATCTAGATACCTAGAAGTACGTAGAACAGATTTTGAAAATTAGATAAATTGAGATTGCTTTTGTTTTCGATCAAGATGGCGTAGTGCCGTAAATTAATATTTATACTTTCACAGTTACCATTAGGCCTTTTCTTTTGTAAGCATATCACAAAAGAATGACCGCTTATTTTCAAAATAACATGTATAACAACAACATTGCTGCCTTATTTAGTTCAACCTTTCTGGTTGCCAAGATTAAAAACTCGTCTATTGTGAACTATTTCTGAAGTACATACAAAACTTGCAGATAATTGTCAACAAATATCTTTCAATCCTTTTTAACTAACTGAAAATATTCACAATCATATAAAAAAAAATATTCTTACCCATAATTGCAAAGAATTATTATTTATTTTCGAGATTTTAATATTAAATTTTATTGCGTGTTTTGCATAATTTCCGGTTCCGGTCCTGTTGCCATCAAAATCAGTACTACTGATTTTATGGTGTTGTTTTGCGACGCAAAAGTATAGCGCATAATAGAAATCTTGAGAAATTAATTTTATTACGCAAAATCCAAATAGAATAAT